TTTTCCCTTACTGAGGACTCCACAGAGCTCAACAGGCGCCCCCGACTCGGTCTCGGGATCCTCTTCGGAGCCGGAGGAATGCCAGCTTTGGTTGTCCGACATGGAGGCACTTCCCTCAGCCCTTTCGCCGAGACGCCGAGACCACCGGAGCTCGCTCTCTACCTGATCAAGACTGCTCCGCTGCTCCGGGAGCCGCTACTGTTGCTACGCCGCCCCAGCCTAAGCCACCTTCGCAGCCCTTCCGTCTGTCTGTCCCCTTCTGGCCACCGCCGGGACAGCAGCTCGCGGATCTCCCCACCCTTCCGCGCACGCTGGTAGCCTTGACCATCAGAAGCAGCCTTTTAGCGGAGCGAGCGCGCGTCTTCTCCTTCTCCCCTCAGATCAACCTTGTGGCTGCGGCGGCGGCTGCTACCTCCATCGCCATCTTTTTCGCGACCCCTTTTTTGCCAAGCCCTTCTAATGCTCCTCACCAGACGGAGTAGTCTAGAACGAGGGCATGCTGGGAGTTGTAGTCACCAAAGGTGTTTGGCAGAGCACCGCCTTCTGGGAAAGCGGGTGGGGCGGAGGGCGTTAATCGCTCCCCTAAATTCTCTGGGCTTCCTGGTTGTTGCATTGGGTTTGCTTCCGCAAACTACCCGCGCCGCTTTTTTTTTTTTTTTTGAAAACACAGTTGGTCGCCATCTTGGTGCGGCTTAATTATTGCGGAAACGGGGGCTGGTGAAGCAGCTGGGACTGAGGTGTGTTGGGGAGCTTATGGCTGCATTATGTGTCGTTAGGAAGGAACTGGTTTTGTGGGAGATTTTTTTTTACCTTCTTTGCATGTGTTTTAGATTTCCCCCAGGCCATCCTTTGGGAATAAATGGGGTGATTTATACTCTTCCCCGACTCTTACGTAAACAAGTAGAAGGAAGGGAAGAGAATGAGGGTTTTTTCGTAACTGAAACGGCTAAAGGTTAATCACGTGTTGGAAGAATGTGGGTCTCCTGGAAATGTGTGGAACGGGGAGGAAAAAAAGCTACGTGTGCTGCCAGCTCCAAACAGGGAGACGAAAGCTGATACGTAATGCGAGTTTACTCAGAGGAAAAGTTCGTTGGAACTTAACGGGGCTTAAAACGTGTGTAACCTATACAATAATGCTGCCTTTGTTACGCTGCAAGTCACAGAGACTGAGTTAGGGTCAATTATTTTGTTCCTATGGCTGCTTGTTGCGGGAAAAATGTAGTGGCTCGGTCGAGAACAGGGTTGAACATACTTCAGGTTATAGATTTTTAAACTAGACAGATTCATAAAATGGAATCTTTTAGAAAAAGCATATGTTTAGAATTGAAACCTAGTTCTTTCACCCCAAACCTTTTCCTAATTAAGAGTTCTCATTTGGATACTCTAAATTTGTTGGGTTCCCATTTTATTATTAAACAAATAGAAATTGTAAATCCTTTTGATCTATAGCTCAAGATTTTACTAGTAGCAATAGGTTCAACTTTTGGTGCAGAGCACAGATGGTTAATGGAGAGGAATCTTATCCAATGTACAGTAATGATACATAATGCCTCTTGTTGCAGTAGCTGTTTTTTTCACAAATACTTTGTCATCAGTGTGTTACAGATAAAGCACAAAGCTTATGTGACTGACTGGCAGTGCCAGGCACGGCATCCAAAATTTACTGCAATGAAATTACAACCCTTGTGAAATATGACATGTAAATCTGAGCTTTTTTTCCCTCCAAAACTTGGCTTGTTAGAGCCATGTAAAAGTGATCTGTGAAGACCACTGATTCTCAGCAGTCTTCAGCTGTGGCCTGTATTTATTTATATAATCAGTTTATATGCCTCCTCAAACACAGAGGAGATTCTAGGCAGTTTACATATTAGAATTAAGAACCACAAGATAATAAAAATAAAAAAGACTATAATACCAACAGCACATTGGGGAAAAGAACAGAACACACCTGATCATGATCATAAAACAGCAATCCAGTACCAGGGAGTGATATTGCCTTGGGGCTGTTGGAAGATTTTAAAGATTTGCAAAAGCACAATACAGTTGAAGCTGTGTAGACTTCAGCTCTTCCATAGGCAGATGCAGCCACAGAACCTGTGGGAAAAAAATCAAAAAGGTACTTTGCAGAATGCATTGGTTGTAAGCATCTCTCCTATTAAGTGTTGATGCAACCACATTATTTAGAAGATTCATTGGCTGATTCAAAAGAAATCTGCCTGTGCATGTGTATGAGCAGCTTTGCTGCTAGTCCTAGTGTTGTCTGTACAAAGAAAAAATACCCCTCAAAGTAGCTATATGTGGCTGCTTTAAGATTTCAGGAAGGGATGCTTCACCCACCAGTATGTTTTGCAAAGTACCTCCTTTGAATACTTTGCACAGCCATAGCATATACATGACATATATGAGGAGTAGATCTAACAGCCAGACTATGGCCATTACAGACACAGATGAAGATGGAGGGTAGGAACAATATAAGCTCTTGATCTCATTCCAGCAAGGTACTTCTTACTTCTACATAACAATAAACAAAAGTATCTTATTGGCTTAGGAAGGAAGGTTAACAAACCCTGAAATTAATATGAGATAGTTTGGTTACAGATTCTGAGTAATCAATTATATTTTTTACTCTTTTGCAGTTATCCTCAATCACTTTTATCCCTTGCAACATCCCACCTTTTTCCTTTTCTTTTTCTTCCTTATTGATCTCTATTTTATTCATGCTTCAGCAGCTGCCTGAAATATCCATTCTGTGCCTGGCTGCATTTGATAAACCTCTTAAAGACATTGGCAAGTTGGTTTGAAAGTGTTCATTCCTGCCTTCAGGGAATTGGTGAGGTAGATAGAAAACAAGTTAGATGAGTTAAATCAAATTTCAGGAGATGGTGGAGTTTCTCTGAAAATTGCAATCCATCATGGAACAGAGCTCCAATAACTTTGGCCACAAAGAAAAAAATATTTCCAACTGCAGCAATATTGTTTATGTTAGGGTTTCAAAGTCAATAGCATTAGTTTCAGTTAATATGCTTAAAAGATTATGTGGGATGAAGTCTGCATACTTTAAAGATTTATGTTTCTATTATATTTGAAATGGTGTTATCTGTGGTATAGCTGCAAATAAACATTACTGAGGACTTAATACAATAAACCAGCAGCCTCTAATACCATCAATCATGGTATTTTTCTGGGCCATTTCAGGGATTGGGAGTGGAAAGCACAGTATTATACTGGTTCTAGTCAATATTGATGGGAGGGAGGGGTAGAGCCCAAGACCCCTGCTTTATGGGGTGCTTGGACTCTACCCTCTCCCTGCTCTTATTTAACATCTATGTGAAGCTGCTGGATGAAGTCATCTGTTGACATGGGTGTAGTATCATTTTGCTGATGATAGCCAGCTGTATACCTCTGCCCTAGGCAAAAAAAGTGATGGTGCTGAGATCCTTTCCCAGTGTCTGGAGATTATGGGGGTTTTGATAGGGGAGAATAGGCTTCAGCTCAACCATGGCAAGACTAGTGGCTTTAAGGCCCCCTGGCTCTGAAGATTTTCATGATCACTGGCTGTAATAAAGGATTTGTTTTGATTTGGAGATTTTCTATCTTTAACTCTGCCTGAGTGTGCACTTCCCCAGTCAGCATTGGTGTACAATTTGGGGCTCCCCCTAGACTCAGGTTCTGCTCAAAAAGCAGGTGGTTGCTGTGGCTAGGAGGACCTTTGCGCAAGTTTGTCTTGTGCATCAACTGCAGCCATTCCTGGACTAGGAGGCCTTGCTCATAGTGACTCATGCTTTAGTTATCTCTCATTTGGATTATTGTAACACACTGTACATGAGGCTGCTCTTTAAGAGCATTTGGAAGCTACAGCTGGTCCAGAATGCAGCCCTACAGGCAGTTTTTGGCATTTTCTGTAACACCCCTATAGCACAGCTGCTGCATGAGCTACACTGGCTTCCAGATGCAATTCAATGTGCTGGCTATCACCTATAAAGGCGTACATGGCATAGGGCCAGGAGATTTGAGGGGGTCCCTGTTTCTGATGGTCTCTGCTAGGCCCACCAGTTCTTCCCCTATGAAACAGCATCCCTCTGGAAATCTGGTTGGCACTGACCCTGTTAGAATTTTGTAAGGCACTGAAGACCTGGCTGTTCCCCCAGAAGTTTGGACCAGGAGGTTTGGTAAGCTCTGTTGGTAAAGCTGTTTTTGTATAAGTTGGGCTTATTAATAAACAATTGTGGTTTAAATGGCTAAAGGTTGTTTTAACCTTGTATACCGCCCAGAGTCACTGTGTGAAATGAGTGGCCATATAAATAATTTTAATAAATAATCCATACACATACATATATATATACACACACACACACATACACACACATGTACACACACACACATACACACACACATATATATAACCATTTATTGATTTTAATTACAGTAATAAAACTAATAACTGAACTCAGAAAGTAAGAAGAGACAATAAAAAGTGCAAAGAAGGAAAAAGTTAAGTGAGATAAAGAAAAAACATAGAAAAAAGAATAAAAAGTGTGGGAAAAAGAAAAAAATATAATAAGCAAAAAGAAAAATATATAACGAAGTGACTTCCAATTTTCATCACAATTATAAACAAAATTGGTAGCTCTTCATCCTCTAAAGGTTATAAACAGATATCTCTTCTTCCCACAACCCATCCCTTATCTATAAGCAAATCCATAAGACATCCACTTTTCAATCCTGGTGTTAGCAAAAAGTCTGTAAAAGGTTGCCAGAATTTTATAAAAACACGTCCTATTTTAACCTTGATCAAATAAACCAACTTTATATTCCTTCCTTTTACTTCTGAAAATCTTAATCTTTAATCAGTTCAAATATTGTTACAGGAATTGATCTCTCTCCAATTCTTCTTTGTCCCATCACAAAAGTTTCTTTGAGGCTTTAAAAAGCTCTTTTGTAAATCCAATAAAAAGACATTATCCAGGTCTTTCTTTTGGTTTATTATTTGAAATTCCCCTTGAATTTTTAAAACTTTGGTCAGTTTCTTTTGTATATTCAATAAAGAATCCTTATCTGGGTCATTCTCTTGGCCTGTCACTTGTATTTCTATTTTAAATGCCTTCTCTGTCTTATAATCCATACTTTTTTTTTGGCCAGTATTTTTGATTCTACTATTTCTGCATCAAGCAAGATTTGTTTCACATCTGTCATTCCTTTACTAACATCTTTTGAACATAATCTATCCATAGAAGCAGACATTGTTACTAATATTGTTGATATTCTGGCTACTAATTTCCAACCCCATTCTTCAAAGATTTCCTTTAGTATTTCAAATGTTACAGCATTTTGTGTCATTTTGTAAATCCCAATACTGATCAAAGCCAAAAGCAGGTTTATACTTTTTTTTCCTTTTTGCCTGGAATCTTTAGTCCCCTCTAGTGTCCAATTTAAATCATAGTCTCTAATCTCTGTTATGACTTACAGTAGACAAAATCATTTTGGTTCCCATGAAAAGCTGTTTATTTTATATAGTTAGTTCCAAAATCTTATAGTAAAAGTTTCAGTGTTGCAGAATAGTCTGGACCCTTAATTCATTTATAACTTTCTTAGTTCAAAATCTTATTTAGCTTTTTACCATTTATTTCAACTTCTTTAAGTTCTTAAACTTAAACTTATTTTTTCTTTTGTTCAGAAATGAAGATAGACTTGCCAGGTGGCTTTTCAAACTTGTACTGAAGATCTCCAATAGCTTTAAGATAGTTTAATAAGCAACTTCTGAAAGTGATTAGAAAGCAAGGTTAGTGAACTTAGTGCCTTTTAAAAGGCTCTGCCATGGTTGTGAGCTTTATGACTGATCCCTTCATATCCCAGTGCTCAAACCTGTGGAAGACTACTATCCTGTGGCTTTCTCGCGAGGAGCAGCCATCCAGAGCACATGTGCACTTGTCCGGAGAGGTTCCGAAGAACCAAACTACTCACCAGTTCTTCGGTCTTTGCTGCGATCATCATCTCTGCTCTCCTAGAGATGTGTTTAGCTTGCCATGCCTCCCCTGGAGGTAGGTAGGTAGGTAGGTATGTATGTATGTATGTATGTATAAATAAATAAATAAATAAATAAAATCCTATATAACTAATGACAATTTTTCAAAAATTCAGAAACTAAAAAATTTTTAAAGACGACGTATTTCAAAAAATTGAAATGTTTTATTTTACTGATCTAAAGTTATCTTTTTTAATTTAAATAAAATACACATAATTTGGTTTAAATTCACTTTAATGGTTAATTTATAAATGTAGTCATGCTTAATTGTGCATGTGTATGTGTTAAAATCTCATTAATAAGAAGGCACTTGTTTTCTATTATATTTTTCCAATTATTTTAGAAAGCATCCTGTCCAAAATAAATGGAAAGAAAAACTATTGCTCCAGAAGTCTTTTCCCCCCAGAGCTTTGCATATCTATAATTCCTTTTTAATTACTAAAGAGGATATTAAGAGAGATACCATATTTACCTAAAAGGAAGACCAACCTGAATTTAAGAGGCTTTCCCCCTCTTCCATTCAAAATGACTCAAGTATAGGTAAATCGTTTTGGAAAAAAACCTAGTCTGTCTTTCAAGTAAATACAATATATCTCAAAATGTTTTAAAATTTTAGCCATCTTCACAAAGTAGGAAAATTAAGTATCTTACTGTTATGCTTTATGAACAGTTTATAACCAAAATAACATGTATTCTAATTTTTTTTAAAGTAAGGGAGAGGGGAGAGATCTCCCTATAATTCCAGAATAACATTCTTCATTCAGTGTTTGAAAAGGTTTTCAATAAAGCCCATTAATTCAATTGACATATTTATGACTTTTCTATAGTTAATGCTTTCATTTGGGGAGGGGGTACCTTCAAGTCAGTGTTGACTCCTGGTGACTGCCTGGACAAGTCCCTGCAGTTTTCTTGGCAAGATTTCAGAAGTGGTTTGCCACTGCCTCCTTCCTAGTGTTGTGAGAGAGTGACTGGCCCAAGGTCACTTAAATGGCTTCCTGTCTAAGGCGGGACTAGAACTCATGGTTTCCTGGTTTCTAGCCTGATGCTTTAACTATTAACCAAACTGGCTCTAATACTTTCCTAACTAGCAAAATGCTAAATATGTCAACTGAATTTTATGGGTTGAGCTCCCTGATAAGCTGGTAAAGGGTTGTACCCCCATGGTATAATTATAGACATGTTTACTCAAAAGCATTGCTATGTTCACTGTGTCTTATCCTTAGTGTGTTTAGGATGGCAATCACAGTTTATCTCTGAGTGAATTTAAACGTTGTGTATATTCCTTCTTAAATGTGTATGTGGGTATGTTTATATATCATAAGTTTTACTGCGATATTTTCAAATTGGTATTCATGATATTGAGGAAAGATATTTGATAATCTAAAAAATGGAGTATTTCCTTTTAGAATTTCACGTATTTTAAAAAGTAGTAGTATTAGTCTAAAGAGGAAAGCAAAATGAGAAACAGGATATTCTGACATGGAATTAATCAAACACAATTTGAATATTGATAATTATAAATGAAACTTAATCAGTGTTGGATAAAACCAGAGAAGAGCAAATTAGTTTTGTTTCTGTAGTGCACCAGGTCTGTTTTAAACAAAAAGAAAAAGAGTCTACAAACTAATTAGTTTTAGAGATAAAAATGGTTTTTTTTTTTCCAGAGGATTTTTTTTTTGTGGGGGGATAGAATGACTGATTAATAGCATCTACCGTTTAGTAATAGTTTTCTAACTACTGTATGTAGTTTTGATCTGGCCTTTGCCAGACCTGCTGTGTCTTGCATTGGTAGTTACATTTGAGGAAGAGAGAGACAAACTGGTAACAGTCCAGAAGAGAGAAATCAGTAGATTAGAATGTTAGAAACTAGTTGTGAGAATTGCTTGTATCTTATGAAAATACTGCTAAGGGTAAAAGATTATTAAAGGAAGTTTATTTCTCTGCGGAATAAAGAACATTTTTTCTTTTGTGTACTGCTGAATATTAAGATACTTTCAAATGTTAAAAAATTAGGAATAGTAAACCATACATGGATGTACTATTATGGCAAGCTTTGAAAAGCGTAATTTAGAGATAGCATTAACATTGTGCTTTCTGTTATAGCTAGCATGTAGCTGACCTGAATTTCCCTTTCTGACATAATGGTTAGTGATTTAATTTTTGAAAAACCTGGTGATGATACACAGATGTAAACTAATTAGAAATTATTGTAGCATATTTAGATCCAGTTTGTTAGTTTGAAAACAGTGGGGAATGAACATCTTCTTGGTAGCTACAAAGGGGGGAGAAATGGTTTTTTTATTCTGTGCTTCTCATTGCAGCAACCTTTCAGTACAGGCCATGGATGTGAAATTATCTAGTCTTCATATTAGCCAACTCCTAATCTGATCAATATGATAACCAAAATATCTTTAATAAAGTTTCTTGAATATTTTTCATAAGAATATTTCTTATAAGGAATAGACTTGCCTGTTAAATGGGCTATGTTTATAGATAGGTATACATAAGCGTTTACAAGCAACTATGCTTCTATATAACTTCCATACTTGACATTGCTGTTATTTAAAAAAAAAAAAACTCACATTGATGATAATTTATAATAATGCCCTGGATAGGAAGATCATTGCAACCTTGATGATTACTGAGAAAATTATATAATTGTTCATCGTGTAGCTGATCACTTAGGAATATACTTCCTATCTCACTTTAATTATGAAGATAAAATGATTGAGTTGCTGGTGGGGAAGAGGTATAAAGTATCTCCTCCATTTCTACCATTTTTTGTCCCTTTCATATTATCTCTGATAAGATAATTGACTTTTTCATGTAAAAAACCGTAGTTAGCATTACGTTGATTAGGATTTTTCCCCCTTTGACAGGCTCTTAAATTACAATTGCATTGTTTCTTGATGCTTTCTTACAATCATCTTATTACAACAGTGCTTTAAGCTTAGTTGTTCCTTACAGCAGCAAACTTATTTTGTTAATGCCAAACAGGAACTTCACTTTATTCTTCATGCCACTAAAGGATTCTAATTCCAAGTGTTGTCAGCTGGGTTGCAGCAAAAATCACAGCCTAGATTAATGTTACCATATCAATCTGAAGCACAGTTTATCGCAATTAAAGCTTTGGACTATTTAATGCAAATTGTTGATGGGATTTCTGCTTAACCAAGTCACAGGTATGATTGCAATAAAAAAGGCTACAAAATTATAACAGCAATTTTACCTTTCATCTAAAAAAGGCCTAAGAGAAGCAAGCCTCATAAGCCCTTGAACACATGCAAGCTAATCACAACATATTCCTTGTATATCTCCAGCAGCAGCAGGAGACTGAAGCTGACAAAAATTCTGTGTTGTAACATAGCTCTTCTAAATTGCAAAGCTCCGGTGACTGGAAAAAAAAAGGTTCCGATGGTACAGAATGATTATACAGTGTGATGTGCTTGTGGACTCATGCCTAAATTCTTAGAGTATTTAGACTTTGTGTGGTGAGGGAAAAGATCTTTTGTTGGAATTTCAGTATTTTATTAAAATCCAGTTTCATCAATTTGAAGAATGAGTTTTTAGAAAAAGAGCATCATTGTGAAGAATACAATGTATCTGAAAAATAAAATAATTCAACAGAATAGATAACTTGAAATAATCTTATTTGGAATAAAAGCTTTGTTAAATAATGTAATGATTATTAACCTTTTTTAACTATGAAAAACAAACTTACCTAGTTACGCTAAAGTTCTTCTAACTATACATGAAGCCTTCAGAGCTTGGAATGTGTTTGTATTACTGATCATCTTTTGCCCATTCCTTTTCCTTGGCTGACTTAATTGTGAGAGGGTGGCGTTATAGTTATTTTCATTCTGGTTTGTAGCAGGAAATAGTAATTTTTTAGTGACCCAGAGGCCATTGTGAGTGACACAATGATGCAAAGTGGGCAGGGTGATGATATAAAAATGAGCAACACCAAAATTTTACATAATTGTTCTTGGTTTTGGGAGAGGGTTTCTGAATACTGTAAACTATGCTGTAGTTTTAGGGCTTGTTTTGCAATTTTGTTTCTTTCCTGTTTCAGAATGGTAGGAAACTGCATCACCAATATTTACAGATGGCTTTTGAGACAGTAAAAAATCATTTCTAGTCTGTATGGAGCTCTGGGATGGCAGGTTATCTACTCCTGTGTTAGGTCATTGTGTAAAAAGTGAAAATATATCCAAAGATAATGTATTTGTAAGAACTGTGCAGAGCTTTGAAGGGGTGCTTTGATTCAAAAATGTTTCAGTCAAAGCATCTCTTTGAAGTAGTACCTTGGATTAAAGAGAACATTCCCTTCAAAGTACCAGATCACATAAAGGTGTGTCTCTGTATGCTCTTATCCCCTAGTGTGAATAATCCAAGTTCTTTCAATGTGTGAGGTGGAGTGATTTGATTTTCTAGTCAAGACAGTGCCTTGAATTAAATTGGATTGTTGCATCAACCTGCATCAAGGCAACAGTTTGAGGCAGAGTAGCACTGTTAGTATAGCCCTATTGCTTGTGTAGTCTTTCATCAAGAAGAGGTTTTGAGATATTATCGAACCTGTCACTTACAGTGCTGAATAAACAGAGGTAGTAATAGCATTTTTATTCCCATTGTTCTTTACAACTATAATTACTCTTTTAATATATCTGCTTTTCATTTTTTAATTATATAAAAAAAGAAAATGGTGACAAAAATTGTATCTCATAAATATTAAACAAAACTTAGTCTAACTATATAATCTTCTCATGCCATTCAGTTACAGGTAGACCTTGTTTAACAACTGCCTTGTTTAACAACAATTTGTAGTTACAACAGTGATGAAAAAATAGTTTTACAGCCAATCCTCGCATTAGTGACCTTTGTAGGTCTGTAAAGCAAAGGAAAGCTGAAATAAGATTGTAAGCACAGTCATGGTTTCACTTAGCAACTGCTTCCCTTAACAACCAAGTTGCTGGTCCCAATTATGGTTGCTAAACAAGAACTACCTGTAAACTACTATCATTTAAATCATTTTCCTTTATGATAAAAAATGAAGTCAATTATATAAATTAATTTTGCAGCCTAAATGCCTAAAAATACCTCCAAATGGGACTCTAGCTGATTTCTTTTTTCAGATTTAGAAAGAGATTATCCAGACTATTGTATAACAGATGGACAATTGGTACCCTGGCAGCCTTGCAGTATCATTTTTTAAACAGTCGTAAAACCATGCAATATCCAGTGCCATCATCTTCCTGTAAGTTTCCACACTGATGGTATATAATTCAAAAGAACATAAGCATGAACAGAAACCAGTGAATCTGCTAAAACATAATTAATATTTGAAATAATTTCTGTCCAAAAGGGAGACACTACATGGCCATATAATATTAATATGTTTTGAGCACTGCATTTCAATTAGCTGAACCCATCTTTCCCAACAGATACCCAGGGACCCAGTAGACATGAAGTAGTTTTTGTTTAATTAATTGTAATTGTAAATCTATAGAAACATCATATATAGATGCCAAATTGGTATTGCCTTGAGCTAGTTCCTTCTATGGCCCTCTGTTGTTTTTTATTAAAAAATCTTATTAAATCATATTTTATGATAAAATAAAGCCAAAAATTCAAACATTCAACCCTCTAGTGATAAGAGAGAATTCTGAAGCCTCCTAAGGCTGGTGGCTCCATATCTGTCAGAAGATAACTTTAACCAAAAATATTGCTGCTTTCCACTTGTTTGGCAAATGATACTGTATTGCAACTCCTCAACTAATATAAATTAATAAGCTTAGATAATGAATGTAAGTAAGATATATACAGTACTTCACACTTTTCCCAGGTTCTTATCTGAATATATTTGTGTTTAGAAAAAATAATGAATATAACACTGATGTGTGCATATGCAGATAATTCTATTACGATATTATAAGAGTGTCAGCAGTAGACTCTAAAACTATGCAGTTTTTCTTTTTCAGGGTAATTGAGAAACTGTTTGCTTGGTTGTACAATGGAAAATGCAAAGAAAGATAACGCTTCTTCCAGAGAAGGGCTACTCCTTAGGATGGGTCTTAATGATAACAAAGCTGGAATGCAAGGGCTGGATAAAGAGAAGATCAACAAAATCATAATGGAAGCCTCCAAGGTTTGTTTACATAAGATTTTTTTTTAATTAAATGTTTTATCTATTCACATTGGTTGTATTCAGTAAAAAGTGTAGAGTATCTACTAGCGTGATGTAGGTAGTAGGTATGAATGGTCATTACATTAAATGCTAAAATTAAATCTATAAAGTTACTGTGCATTTCCAGTGGATAAAGTGGTGTGATTTGAGGTATAGGATGCATAACAAGCAGGGCTCTCAACTATTAGCACTCCCAGTTATTTGAGGATTTGTGCTAGCACAAGGTCTCCTATTGCTAGGAATGTGATCAGGCAGCTTGAAGTAGCCATGTATGTGCAACCAGAACAGTGGGGGAGAAGTAACATGCTGCTCCACACCATGTATACAAATACAGTTGTATTGCAAATCTTGGGGCACTTGTCACCTTCATTCAGTGGAATGTAGGTCTACTTATTAGCATTCTAATTACTGACATAGATGTGTAAATCATTGTTATAAGAATTTTAGTTGTGATTCTAAAACTAATTTCTTTTAAAAAATGGTACATGAGTTTGCTTCGTACCTTGTCTTTTTCACTATGACGGTAAGCTTGTATGCAAGGACAATCATATTTTAATCTATGTACTTAGCCATTTTAGACACAACTAATAATACTGTATTATTAATCAGTGGGACAGTTTAAATAACTGCTTTTAAGATTGCAGTCTTCTCATCAGTACCTAAGTACTGGTACATATCTCCCTGAAAATACAGGTCTAATTCATTTTTGTTAATAACATTGTATTTGTGCTGTGCTTTATTTGTTTATATTGTTTTATCTTATTTTTTTCATGAGTTATGAAATGTCTTACCAAAGTATTGCACAAAATATTTCTGTGTCTAAATAAAAACATTCTGACACAGTTCAGTATAGCTATATGATTATTTGGCGATTCTTGCTTTCTTCCATACCCTAAGTTATGCCACCCTAATAGCTAATATAACAAACCTGGAGGTCAAAGTCCTTTGTATGTGCTCTTCTAATAGCCTTCATAACATAAATATAATTAAACTGTTATGTGCCAGACTGAAATAATTTTAATCTCTTTGGCAGGGTTCTAAATTTTATGAAAATGAACTTAAAAAAGATCAACAAGTTAATAAACGGATTGAAAAAATGCTGAAACTAAAAAGTAAGATCACAGAGCCATGGATTTTGAAAGCACAGTTGCAGGTAATTTCTCTAAATGTCTTGAAAAGACCAGCCAGGTAAGGAGAAAGAAAGTGGAAAGATTATTCCCTTTAGTTCAACTCCATTTTGTATAGGATTGCTTGATTTAATCTGAAATAACTAGTATAGTTTAGGGCTTAGTATATGCATACAAAGAAAGTCCATGATATCACCCTCATGTATAAACATGCTGTTAAGATAACCTTCAATAGAAGGCTTACTATTTAAGTAAACAGAAGTCAGTTTGGTTTGTGACTTACTCAGTCTTGCCAGTCTTCTTTGTCTAAACTCTAGGAGCATGCTATCTGTTGTAGTGCTTCAACTAGTATTTCTGGGGCTCCTGACCGTCAGCTTTTAACAGAAGTTACAGGAAATATTAAATTTCTATACATACATACGTACATACATACATACATATACTATAGTTATGGTATTGGTTTTAAATATAGGTCCAATGGTTCCAAGAAGTGAATTTATGTAGGCTGTTTCCCAAAGCTGTGTGATTGTGGTGGATTTTGCTATATTTTTTTTTTCCTTGAAAGTATCCTATGTATGTGAAAATATTATATTGTTTAAAAATTAAATGTTGGATATTTGTACATCAGTGATGGGAAGGCATGTATTTTTCATCTATTACATGGCATTTCAAAACAACAAAAAGCTCTTGGAAAAAGAACTTGGCAGCAATTAGTTGTGATTATAGTAGAGCTTCATGTGAGATACACTTAGTTCTTGTTTACTCACATGCAAAGAACAGCATTGTGGACATTAAATTAACCAGGTGAGCCATAAAGATAATCATATCATAATTACTACATTAAATATGCCACTTTCTCCTGTCACAGCAAATTAGTTTAGAGGCCTTTTGAAATGATCCATATAATGGTTGGTTCATGTGACAATTTTCTGTTATTTAGGATACAAATTAAACATAGTTATGCAAATTATCCCTTATTATTGCATACTGAATATTTTGAAATGATATAAGGGACCATGTAACAGTGTTTATACTGTGTGTATGTATATGCTTATGAAACAGTCCTAAAGTAGTCCCTAGTTATTTTTATAACTTTAGCCAACTTTGAGTAAGAGAAAAGACTATGTCTTTATACAGTTTTGCATATTTATTTATGCACAGATGGATAAACTTGCAATGGAATTGGATCAGAATCGTGATCTTAGTTGTACAATTGTACACATTGACATGGATGCCTTTTATGCAGCTGTTGAAATGAGAGACAATCCTGAATTAAGGGACAGGCCCATAGCAGTGGGTTCATGGAATATGTTGGTAAGCTGAAACACAACATTTCCACTTGCATAGAAAACACAGATAACTGATTTTTCATTGCTTTACAAGTTCCTTGTTTCTAAATTTGTGATAATAGAGATGTGAATGAAACAATTATTTCTGCAAGTACAAATGTTTTTGTTAGATTAATATTTTGCTACCTGTATTAAGTTTGTAAATGCTTAATACTGGTGGTCCTTGACTTACAATCACAATTGGGACCAGAATTTCCATTGCTAGTTGATGTTGTAAAGCGCGACGTCGTGTGACTGCATCGCTTAGTGACAGCAATCCTGGCACTCCCTGTTACCATCATTAACTGAGAATTGTGGGTCATTAAGTGAGTACCCACCCCAATCCAAGCCATTCTGGGCTTTGTTCCCTCAGCCCCGAGCCTCAGTAAGGTAAGGGACTGCCGCCTCTTCAACTCACCCCACCCACCTATCTCTCCCCCATCTCTGTTGTTTTGGCCACCTTCACCCTGCCTTGTGGGTGGCAAGCAGCCCCAGAACTGTGCAGCTCTGGGGCTGCTTGCCACACTGCGGCTCAGGGGCTATAAGAAGCCCCTGAGGTGCAGTGCAGTGCGAAACCCTTCGCAGCACAAAGCCCAGCCCCAGCCCAGTCCAGCCGTGCAGCACAAAGCAGCTGCCCCAGGAAGCCCCAGCTGCCCCAGGAAGCCCCAGCACCCAATGTGAAACCACCACCCAACAACATGGTGCAAAGCCACTACCCCAGGAAACAAAATAAAGGGCAAAACTTCAAGAAAGTGTTTAAATGCCATTTTAGTAGAATCCATTATGATTTGAACAGTGTTCCCCTCAATCAATTTAATTTTCTCTCACCCTTCTCAACCTCTGCAACTCCCAGAGCATCTTAATAATTCACTGTGAAGGACTGGGGTTTCCTTTGGAATATGAAGATATGCTTGGGGATGCAGGAGGGAAAAGAAACTGCAGGCTCTCATTTTTCTCTTGGTAGAAACCATTGGTTGCTCCTCATAGTTCTTAGCCATCTCCAATGTGTTTTCACTGAAATAAAGCTTCTGTAAATGCATATAACTCTAAATAACCATCTCATTGTGCCAAAACTCTTCACAAAGTGGTATTTCTTTACAAAAACTCTGAAACTGAATGATCACTGTCCCCTTTTCTGTTGTTTAAGATTCTCTGCTTTTGCCTTCAAAAATGTTAATGTTAATTAAGATACAAGTCTATACTGTCACACACTTTCAGACTTAAATGAGATGCCTGTAAATTATTAGTCCAGGATTTCTAATGTGGTTTTATAGCACAAATGGTTTATATTTAACCATTTTTGTTGTCAAGCAGTCACAGTCAAAATATTGGTTGGCAAAATATAAGTTTCACATGTGTTCAAATAATTCACCTCTTGCACTGTCAGTTATTTTCTGAGCATTTGAGATATTTCTTTGTACCAGTTTTGCTTCACATTTTTGAAAGCTTATTCAGTGACAGAATAAATGAAGTGACAGTAGGAAATTTCAGTTTCTAGATTAGGTCAGTGAGTTTATATGTTTGTTTTTCTTACTAGTTTGTCTCTTTGAGAATATCAAAGCAGCATATATCGCTTGTTTGTAGAACAGGAAAAATTGTAGTTAAGCAATATGGCAGTGATGCTGTTATTACTTTCAGAAGTGCAGTAGGACTCCAAAAGACTGGGGTCAAAATTCTCTTCCCCCTCCAAATCCTGGCTGCTATGAGCAGTTGTTTAAGAAGGATGGTATATCCACTGATCCCTTTTTGCCTGTTGGACTGATTGCTTTACCACTTTCCCTGTTACACCTGCCTTAGAGCTGCTTCTGAATGGACCATGACAAAATTGAGTACACTGTATGCAGTGTGAGGATGGCTTCTTTATATCATTTGTGGCTAACCTTGACTATATTTGCATGTAGTATTTGGTTTGGATTCCATCTTATCTATGGTATGCAACTGTTTCATGGTAGTCCTTTTCAGACTTATCTAACTGACTTGTGACTTATCAAACAACATTACAAGTAGTAAAATTTTCATGATCCATCAATTCCTGTAGAAAAATGTGCTTAATTTTTGTTAGTCCTGCTACACTTCATGTCTATGCTTCACACAAAATGCTTAACCAAGTCAGTTAGAGATCTAGCAGCTTTATTTCTTTTTTTGTGGCTGAGTGTGGTGTGGGAATCTAGTCTAGTGAATTATATTTCACTGTATTGTGTGAACCTATAACATAAGTTAATTCTGTAAGCTGATTAAGCATATTATATGACTAGATCCCATAGGGCAAGGAAGGGAGCAAGGCTTCAGTTGTCTGAAACAAGCATTAATCCCCAGATTATTTAATGAAACTCCTTAGTTTTCATTAAACAAAAACCAAAAAACCCTCGTCTTCAGCTGTTCTAGAAACTGAAATATGAGGCAAGCTGTTTCCTTTTCCACCCTTAAAATACAACACATTGCAAAATCACGTTGCTGACATTTGAAAGCAAAATGGCCAAAATTCAGTTGTGCAGTTTTCAAGCGTTTTGGGGGAGTGGGGATAAGGGTAAAAAAGGGAGTTTTCAGTTAAAGGTTAGGAAAATCATCCTAATGATAGAAACAGTGTGACAATGAAACCAATCTTGGGAAATGGTGAGTCTTCCCCTTACTGATCTCTTCAAGAAGAAAGTGGATAATTATTTTTCAGGGATTCTTTAACTAGTATTCTGACACTGAAACAGGCTTGGAGACAATGGCTACTCTATGATTCTTTGGTTATTATATCCATATTGCAACCACTGAGAAGTTGAATTATGTCAGTTTTGCAAGGTAACCAAGAGGCACTATGCCCATTTGGGAGTAAGTATGACAGGAGTATGTGGCAAACTGTCAAAGAGTCAAGTGTTGCTATCCAGTCTGTTTTATATTTTAGAGAAAGGTTGTATCAAGCATTGTAACACAGGGCCAAATCAAGGAAGCAAGAATTACCCAGACTCCATTAAGGAGCCTTGATGCAAGAATTAGGGATAAAGATATAGTAACTATGGAAACATAGCTAACCTCTGCTAAATAAGAATGCTTTTGTTTGCTTTCACCAAGCAACAGAGGTGGAGTTAGCCTGGTTACTCTTGGCAGAGTTCCATATGCTTAGAGTAGCCATTGGGAAACCACTACTTGTGTTTTCAACAAAGCTTTTACAACAACTTTCCCCCAAAAGAGGAGTTTGAGACTAGATAAAAATTGTCCAGGACTGTTAGATCCAGCCATGGCCTCTTGAAAAGGGGGCACACATTGTTTTCTTCAAGGCAGATGAAACCACTCCTTCCCTCAGAGAGGAAGTCACCACCTAACCACATGTCACCTCCTGGGAGGCTTTCACTCACCAGGAGGGACATGAATCTAACAAATGTGTGGCCAAATTAACAGTCCCAAAGACTGTCCACTTCCTCAGGAGTTACAAAATTAAGCAGCTCTGAAGATGTTCTTGTGGCCCATTTCTTCCCAGCAGGGAATGGGTCACTTTAAAAATAGCTGCTGGTCAGCTAATTGCAGACTTATTAAGCGCAAAAAGTTACATTTTGTTGTTCTTATCACCACAATGTAATCCATAATACAGACTCTTTAGTCTAGAAATCAATCTCAATAAATAGACATTTAGTATGTCCTCTGACATGCTTATGAGAATTCTTGTAAATCATTGATCTTGACCTACATTGTGCCTAAATGAAGAATATTCAAGAATTTAATACTGTCTATGACACAGATGGGTGCAACTGATGACATTTTATTTATTTATTTATATTTCAAATTTGTCACTGCCCATCTTATTACAGAGTGACTCTGGGCAATTTACAGCAAAAATAGAATAAACATTAATTAAAATAGATAAATATTAATTAATTAAAATATATGACAGTAACAAACTTCCTATATAATACTTCCAAGAGACTGATGTTAATTAGGTGATAATAAACTCGGAGTGTCTTCAAGGCGCCAGCTATCCCCAGGGCTGGTTGTATCTCTTCTTGCCCCACGCAAGTTGGCAGAGCAAGGTCTTCGATTCCTTCTGGAAAATTGGGAGGGTAGGGGCCCGCCTCACCTCTGGGAGGAGAGTATTCCATAGGGTGGGGGCAATGGCAGAGAAGGCTTTCCTCCTGCGACCCACCAGTCGACATTCTCTCGCCGACGGAATACACAACTTTAATATGTTTTGAACCATAAAAGACAGTACATTATATAATTTCATGTTGATTTCACTTTTATTTAATAATTTGCGTATTCAGCTTATTGAGGGTGGCAGGACACCCAAAAACATATAGTTTTACATACATTTTTTGGATATAACCCTAACCCTATCGTTTATGAGACAGTTACAAAGCAAAATATAACTGCCTTGGAAAATGGCTTCCACAGACTCCAGCCAACCTGCTGGGGATGCTTGCCAACTTTTATTTACTCTAAATCATGACTTCGCTATCCTCTGAGTGGTATTTGTTGGCAACAAAAATGGCTTTCTTATAGAAGTCTTTTTCAGAGTTAGTATTAACAGTGTTTGGTCCAAAAATCAGCTGTTTATCTTCATAAATAAATGCGGATTTCAGCATAAATGTCTTCAAACCTCACATTTTCAACCATACTGGTTCATCTGGTTAATTGGTTTTTGTTTCTGTTGAAGAACATAAAAAACTTGCCAATATTTGGTTTCTTTCTAAATTTCTGGATTTAGTCTAAGACAGATCCTGAAAAAACAGACTGGCTATTTTTAAAAATACTTAGTTCAATATCCAGATCAGCTACAATGGCCACTTTCTGCTTTTGTCAAGTATAGTTATGTGTTACAGTACATTAAAAAGATACAGGGTTGACTAATCAGAGTTGATTTTATAATAGGAGCTATTTTCCATGTTTAAGTAATACTTGAATTGTTATTAATGGGTCTTGAGTTTTCCTAACATCTTGTAGTCTAGTTATAGTACAATCCATTTTAAAAGCTTTTTTTTTAATTCATGGTTTTGTCTTTTTAAGTCCACTTCAAATTACCATGCTAGAAGATATGGGGTACGTGCAGCTATGCCTGGATTTATTGCTAAGAAACTTTGTCCACATCTTACTATAGTACCATTAAATTTTAAGAAATACGAAGAAGTGAGTAAAGAGGTATGTGATTCATTACTGTAGCTGAATGCATATTAATATAATTATTTTAATTTGTCTGCAGTTTACCTAAAATTGAAAATTATGTTATGAAGCTTTATATTGTCATTAGCTTGTTTTGATTCTGGATAAAGCATAGTGTTAAAATTATTTTCATATCTGCGCAAGTAGGAGAAGAAAGTGGTATTAGCATTTACAACTGAATTAATTCTGTTTCACAGAACTAGCATTACATTTTCCTTTCCCATTAACACCTTTTAATAATCAGCTGAACTGAACAATTTGAGATGAACATCTTTCTCCATCAACTGAAATTTCTCTTAAAAGAGATTATTGCTTATTTAGCATATCCCAATTCTTTCTTTAAATTCAAATGAAGAAAGCAGTTGTCTTTCAGAGAATATATTTCTACAGTATTATTGTAAGTTGCAGTGGACTGTTGGAATTGATTTCCTTGCCTCTTTTTAAAAAGTCATCACATTCCACAACAAAATAATACCCACATATTTTTTTTCTCCTAAGAATGGTCATTTAAACTTTGCCCAGCTGATCCTATGCATATTGAGATTTTAGGGTTAGGGTTTTAAATACTGATCTCATTGTGTTATTCATTTCTTTGTCTAAGAAAGGATAACTTTGATTCTCCCTTCTTAAAGCAAAGATGATGATAGCAAACTTATTATTACTTGTTCAATCACTTCCAATTTTTCATGACCCAACAGACATTATTTTGCCAGGATTGTAGCTTAGTTCCTGTACGGGCATGCTTGTATTGTGGTACATTGTTTTCGTTGGGCTTTTTGGTTTTCTAAGCATCAGGGTCTTCTCCAGTGACTCAGATTTTACATTATGTGTCAAATATTTAAGCTTTAACTTCTTTATTCCTGCTTCCAATCTGTTTTTATTTCATGTAGTATTGAATTATTTTATTGTAGTCTAAGGTGTTCTGAACAATTTTCTCCTGCACCACAATTCAGACGCAGCAATTTTATTCATTCAGCCTTCCTAATGGTCAGTATCACTTCATAGCCATATGTTATCCCCAAGAAAACCATGGCCTTCACGGTGTATACCTTTGTTGTCAGTGTGATGTCTGCACGTTAATATGTCTGTTATACTCTTTCTCCAAAATGGATGTCTTTTTATTTCATGGTTACACTAATTGTCCCTGTGAATATTTGAGCCTAGGAAGATAATGTATGTTACTACTTCAACCTTTTTCTGCCTATTTGCAATGGGTTGACATTGCCTGTTGGCATAATCATGTTTGTTTGTTTGTTTGTTTTAGCTCGAGGAACAGACCAATCTTTGCATTCTTTTCTTTTACCTTCTATAAAAGATTCCTTGAGGCTTCCTCTGTTTTAATCATCAAAATTAAGTTATCAGTATATCTGAGGTTCTTGATGTTTCTCCCAGCATTTCAATTTCTATTTCTTCAAATTTATTTTCTATTTCTTCAAATTTATTTTTTCATGATATGTTCTGCACATAAGGAGACAGTATGCAATCATGGCACACACCTTTCCCAGTTTGAGCCATATTCCATTCTAACTCTTGCTTCCTCATCTGTAGTCTTCACTAGGCAAAGAAGATTATCACGTTTTTAAGGGCTAGCCACAATTTGTTGTGGCATGCACAATTAAGAGCATTTGTATAATCAATAAATATTTTGAGGATTCTCTTGTCTTTTCTATTATTCATTGGATGACAGCAGTGTGATCTCAGATGCCTTTATGTCTTCTGAATCCAGCTTGTACAATCCAGTTCTAATTCCATGTAATTGATTGATTGATTATGTGCCATTAAGTTGTTGGTGACTCTTAGTGACTGCATAGTAGATTTTCTCCGGTCAGCACTGCAACTGAGTCCATCCACCTTGCTGCTGGTCAGGCTCTTCTTCTCTTTTCTTCCACATTTCCCAGTATTATAGCCTTCTCTAGAGAACTAGGTCTTCACATAATGTATCCAAAGTAGGATAATTTGAACCGGTCATTTTTGCCTCGAGTAAGAACTCTGGGTTGATTTGTTTAATGATCCATTTGTTTTTTTTCTTGGCTGTACATGGTATTCTCAGAAGTCTTCTCCAACATCAGAGTTCAAAAGCATCAATACTCTTCCTATCCTGCTTCTTCAAAGTCCAATTTTCGCTTCCATAGAGTGTCCCAGGGAATACTGTGGCTTGCACGTTTTTGATCTTTGTAGGTATAGCACATCATGGCATATCTTTTCCAAGATCTTTATAGCTGCTCTACAAAGTGCTAGTCTGCAGCATATTTTTTGACTGCTTGTTCCTTTATTGTTGATGGTTCATCCTAAAAAGCAGAAGCTATCCACTGGTTCAGTGTCTTCATTGTCAATTCTAAGGCTGGTTGTTCTACTTGTTGTCATTAATTTGGTCTTCTTTATATTTAATTTTAGTCCCATTTTTTCACTGTGCTCCTTTGGCCATTGCTGTGCTTTCATGCCTGCTTTCACGTCAAGTGTAGCACTTAACTCATCATCTTGTACGATTTTAAACAATTCTGCTAGTATTTAATGAACTCCTGTAGGTTTGTTGTTAGCAGTATTTTCTAGGGCCCATTCAACTTTACTTTCTAGAATGTCTGGCCCTAGTTCATGATCAAACCTTCATGAATCTGTTGGTATAGTCATGCCATCCCTTTCTGTTTTCTTTCTTACTGTGTACTTAGTCTTTTATCATGCCTATCTTTGAATAAAAGTATTCCTTAGTTTCTGTAATGTTCTTAAATCTGTAGCCTTTCCCTTTCAAATATTAAACTCAGTTGCTTTGCACTGCATATTTGGATGTAAATCCTTTTTTTCCTTGTTCTTTGAAATTCACTGCTTAGTTGGTTAAATTTTCCTCTATCTTTGTTGTCTTTTGATTTTCACCTTCAGCTATTTTCAACATATCAGCAGGATTTTGCTGCTTTTGCATTTTGGGGTATTTTTAATGACATCAAAAATGTCAGTCTTCAGGCATTCTATCAAATCTATGCTTATCTTCACTGCATAAGCATATAGTGTACTGCTAAGGTTATATCTTGTTAGTCTGATTATTATATTTGCTTTCTTTTGTTTAGGTTGTAATTTTCCAAGTAGGAATTTACATTCTGATCTTTAGTTAGTGCTAGTCATTTTTGGTACCTAAGTAGAGCTTCTCCATCTTTGCTTGTAGAATATATAGCCAATTTGATTTTGGTATTGTCCATCTGGTGATGTCCAAGTGCAAAGTCATCTTTCAGGTTGTCAGAAGAAGGTATTTGCTATAAACATTGAATTTTCTTGGCAGCATTTTATACACTGAGGCCAAATTTTCCCATTATTCCATATATTACTTCCAACATTACACTGTTTTCTGTAATTAGTAGATCTGGGTTTGGGTGGTCTTTTTTTTTTTTTTTGGCATTTTGCTGACAAGGTTGCCAGAGAATAATTCTGCTTCCTGTGCATCTATGGTTGAAGCATAGTCTGGAGTCACTGTAATATTGATTGGTTTGCTCTGGATTCAGATTGAGGCATTCTGTCATTTTGGGGAGTTGTATCTTAGTACCCTTTTGTTAATAGCTATGGCTACATCATCACTGCTATGAATTTGTTATCTGCAAACGATCTGATGCCCTCTGATTTGAAGTGACACATTTCAGCATTTCAGTTCGCTGATTCCCAAAACACTGGTGTTCAGTCTTTGCTCTGACATCAAGTTTATGGTAGTTCATGGTTCTGACATTCTATGTAAAAGTGGTGTGCATTTCTTTGTAGCACTGAACTAGGTGTATACATTCTCACAGTATATCTCAAGCATCATTAAGAAGTGCAAGCTCTTTTACTACTTGCTGTTAAAGGGGTTGGAGGAAAATAAGGGTTTTTTTTAGAGAGGTAAAGAAGAGGATGCAACTTGCAACTGAGATACCCATCCCTGGAAGCAGCCAGTTTGTGAAATGTCTTTGTGGGGAGATATTTCTGTCTTAAAATATTTTAACTACCCAATTTTTATTAGAGTCCTCATTTTACTACATTGAGAACAAGTTTTTCTTGTTAGCATGACTCATGCCTTCAGTGAAATTTTTATCAGGATGCTATGGTTAATAGGAAATGGGATCAAAAACACTCTTTGATAATTGACCTTCCTTCCTGATGATGTATGCCAAATGATACAGTGCTGATACTGGCTAGATGCATGGTATATTTTTTTTAAAAATGAATAAATAACAGCTGAACTTTGTATTTATATTTCTCAAGATTAGGGAAATACTGGCTGAATATGATCCTCAATTCATGCCCATGGGCCTTGATGAAGCCTACTTGAACATAACAGAGTACTTAGAAAAACGAAAACATTGCTCTGAAGGCAAAATAAAACATTTTAGTACATACAAGTTTGGTCTAAATGGTAAGCAGTTATCGGGAGTTCTCAGACCAAAATAAAATGTCATGTTGCTCTTACATTTGTGACCTGGTAAACCTGGGAATTGTGTGACACAGGAATATTTTAAATGTTAATATTTGCTTTCATATTTGTTTTCAAGTAATTTCAGGCCAAGGCAAAAGCTAGCAATAAGATCTTAATCCAGAATTTTAAGTGTATTCTGAACACTTATTATATGTAAGAGTCCTCATTTCAGTGGGAGGGGTATTCCAGTGCTGGTTCTTAAATTGGGCCAGTTATTTGGTCAAGAAAATAAATTGTGACCCTAAACTTCTAATTTACTTCCCTTAAGAAGAAAATCCTAAAAATCTACTATTTTAGTATAATTTTAGGTTGCCCAATACCAGTGAGTTCTTTGGTCACCTTGTATATAAATATACATATAGGTATAAAGAGGCATATTGTTTCTTTCAATACCAAATTTTAGTTTTGTAAATGTGCAATTCATTGGTATGAACGATATCTTAGATGCATATAGATAATAACCGTTTTCTCTCCCTCCATGGGAGATGACTCTGCAGCAATGACAATGAGAATGCTGCCATTTCTAAAAGTAATATATGCAACAACCTGGCCAATGAAGTGACTACAAAGACTGAAGCTACTTCTGTTATTTGCTTTACAAGAGCATTTGAACATAAGACTGTTTTGCTTATGATAATCTGAGATTTTTTTTTTTTACTTTTTAAAACAAGGAAAACAGAATACAGTTACATCTGATGTATCAAACTTGAGTGAAGATATGCATTCCTGTTCACCAGTATTGTTTGACAATGACACTCTGATTAATAAGCAGACTGTTCAAACATCTTTGCCCTTAGAAGAACAGCAATGCCAGCAGTCAAGAGTTCAATTAAAGTCAGTTGTCTTGGAAACATCAGCTGAGGAAGTTGTAGAGGAAATTCGCTTTAGAATTGAACAAAAAACTGGGCTGACTGCCAGTGCTGGTAAATACATTTTTATTGTTTATAACACTGATAGTTCTAGAATGCCTCTGTACATATTTACTACAAGTATGTTCACAAAATATCTGTCATATGATTGATTAGAATTATCTCTCTGATTCTTTGCTGTTTTATATTCAGCCATATTACACCAACCAAAAAGTGGAAAGCTGGATAATTATACAGTGGTACCTTGGGTCACGAACTTAATTCGTTCGGCGACTCTGGTCGCGACCCGAATTGGTCGCGACCCGAATCAAATTTTCCCATAAGGTTCAA